ACACTAAAAAGACTATGTAAGTCAGCAAATAATAGGCTAAAGATAACGTGAACATTGCAAGAAGGAGAGGAAGGAGACCCACTGGCTCAGTGGTTAGTACTGCTGCCTCTCAGCGCCAGGGACCCAAGTTCAGTTCCACCCTCGGATGTCTGTCTGTGTGGATTTTGCACATTCTCCCTATGTCTGCGTGGGTTTGCTTGGGGTGCTCCAATTTCCTCCTACAGTTCGAAGATGTGCAGGCTAGATGGATTGGCCATGCTAAATTGCCCGTAGTGTTCAGGGATGTGTAGATGAGGTGGGTTATAGGGGGATCGGTCAGTGTGGACTTGTTGGGCTGAAGGGCCTGATTCCACACTGTAGGGATTCTATGAAAGACTGGCAGCAGGAAGGAGGTCCATCATTTAAGATACGTGGAAAGAATGGATTTCTCATATGATGAGGTCAGATGTGTCTTGATTCATACGGGAGGAAAAATATTTATGACAGGATATTTGGACTCCAGGAGAAACAAGAGAATTAGGTTTGTATAATCAACTATCACAGTTGTACTGCTAAACTAAGCAAAATAAGAAAACCTGCAATAGAAAGTCAGATTGGGGACTAGAGGTGAGCAAAAAATTTCTATCAGAATAAAGGAATAGTAGCATCAGTTAGCATTAATAACTGCTCAAACAACACAGCAGAAAATAAACTATGCTTTGACTTTCATAGAGTCCCTACACTTTAGAAAGAGTCCATTTGGCCTATCAAGACTGCACCAACCCAGCAAAGAGCATCATCCAAGAGTGGAATTGAACCCAGATCCCTGGTGCTGTGAGGCTGCAATGTTAACCACTGTGCTGTCTGGCACACGTATCTAACATGAAACAAACCATGTTTTATTTGACCATTTTCTCAGATGAGGTGCTGTCAAAAGAAAACAAAATTGTATTTTATAAAGTTATTAAAACAATGTTAAATTCTAAGTAAATCACTAATCAAAACCTGACACAATCCTCTCTGGCTATGGTTTTTTTTGTACAAAACAAAAATAAAGTAGTTTGGATTGAAAATCTTAAGATTTTCCATGTGTTGTCTGTCTCCAATGTCAGTAGTCAATGACCTTCTCTTTTCTTACTGTTATATAAAGGCCATTTTGTTTATCTGACCGGACAGCAGCTACCATGGATATTAGTAAGGTTGCTGAACAGCACACTGCTGCTATTTAGCTCCATATTCCATCACAGCTCATTTCCCCCAGAAATGTAATACAGGGCTACAATTGATATTCATTGAGACAGCCTTAGCTTTCTCAATCTTACTTTTTTCTTTTATAGCTATACATTAATGTTAAGAATGTGCTGAATTTTACACTTGCCCAGAAGAAATTATTTGAGTTGGAGTGCTGGATAATTCCAAAATTATCTATGATTTGGGTCCCACTTACACCATTGTCAATTTTTAAAAGTTTCTTAATTTATCTGAGGGGAAAATAATTCAAAACTAGTATTGCCTAGAGGATCTTCTTCCAGCATTTTAGAGAAAGCAAATCTGATTCTTGTCACTTATAATCCAGTCAAAATATGGAATTGGAAGCAGGTTAAGTAGCAATCCAAGATTATTTCTTTATCTTTGTTAATTTTATAGTGAACTGATAAATGGTTATATTGCAATACACTGGAAATCTGGTTAAACATGGATTAAGGGATCTAAGTGAAATGTATTATAGCTGGATTGTATAGCTGAACATCTCAGGCAATCAAATATTTAAATTACTCTTGTGTCTTGTCAGGTGATGTAAGACAGTGCTACAGAATCCATGTGATTTATATGTCACCTGAATTAGTTATTTAAAACATTTTTATTGCAAATAGAGATTTCATTTGTTTCATCCATGAGCTCATCTTCCCTGAACCTTCCCTGTCAGTTGTTTGAGGGAAAAGAATAGATCTCTCTGTGCAATGAGATTTGAAGAACTGTATAAATAATAGCTATGAAGTTCTATTAATAATGAAATCAGCAGTTAGACCACTTTGGTGTGACAATAACATATAATTATATACTTGAAATGATTACTGGCAATGGTTTTATGTGATTTAAGATTAATGCAGATTTATGACTTAACAAAGAAGTAAGAAGAAACTGAAATAGGTACCCATTCACTAATCTATTCATGATATATTGATTGGTATATTTTCGGAAATAAAGATAATCATAAATCACTTGTTTTTTCCAATTTATTCATTCTCTACATTTCACATGGTCAGCAAATCTCATTTTCTGAGGTGGCTGCACTGTGAAAGACTCATTCTGATCCTCCCTCCCTTCTGACCTATGGGAGATAACTGACCTCATTCCTTTCTTGAACATCAAAAAAAGGGCCATAGATAGGACAGAGTGTGGTGACAGTGTTAAAGATAGAGAGAATTGAACCTTGATACTGCACATGCGCCAGATATAAAATATTTGTTTAATCCACTAGGTGGAAAAATGCCAAGATAACAAAGAATAAAATTTAAAATTGGACAATGGCCAATTTCACTAAGCCAACTATGATTTGGGAAAAGTGGACTGGAAATGGTTACTCTAAGGTAAAGCAATATGACAGCAGTGTGATAAATTGAAGGAAAAGTTAAGAGGGTTCAGAACAAATGTTCCAACAACAAAAGAGGGGGGCAACTCCAAAATCTAGACCTCTCAGATATCAAAGGATATTCAGAGTATGATAGCACAAAAAAAGAAACATATGCCAGATATTGAAAGTTCAATACTGCAGGAAGCCTAGGAGAATATAGAAAGTGCAGGATTGAAATTTAAAAGAAATTAGGAGAGTAAGGAGAAGACATTGAATATTTAAGCAAGCCAAATCGAGGAAATACCTAATGAACAAATGGATAATTGAGGAAAAGATAGGGTTGATTTGAGAGCAGAAAGTTAACTTGTGTGCAGAAGCAGAAGATGTGAGCATGGTTTGTAGTGAATACTTTGGATATTTTCTCTAAAGAGGAGGATGTACACATGTAGTTAAGGAGAATGGCTGTGAAATATTGGCTTATGTAAACATTATGGGAAAGAAATATCAGGGATTTTAGCATCTTTGAGGGTAGATAAAATGCCAGAGCAAGGTGAAATGCATCCAGGCTACTAAGAGAAGTGAAGAAATGCTAGAGACTCTGACCATCATTCTTTAGCTACAAGAATCATGCTGGAGGATTGGAGAACAGCCAATGTTACATCATTGTTTTAAAAGGGAGACAGGGATGGACTCAGTAATTACAGATCAGTCAGCCTAACCTTGATGACAGCTTAAATCATCTTTTAGAGTAGCATATTAATCAAGGACAGTCAGCATGGATTTTTTAAATGAATGTCATTCATGACTACTGAATTATTTTAGCAACCAACAAGGAGGATCAATAAGAACTGCATTGTTGTAGCCTCTATGGATTTTAGGAAGTGTTTTGACATATTCCAACATTGTAGAATCATCAGAAAAGTAAGAGCCCATAAGATCCAAGGGCAACTAACAAATTGGATCCAAAATTAGCTCAAAGGTAAGAAACAAAGGGAAAGGGATGATGGGTTTTTTTGAGAGTGGAGTGCTGTTTCCAGTGGGGTAAGCAGGGTTCAGCACTACGTCTCTTGATTTTTGTGGCTTCTTTCAATGAATTAGACTTAAATAAAACTAATGTGTGGTTGATAGTGAGGAACCAAATGGTGAACCACAGAAAGATATCATTGAACTAGTCAGGCTTGTGGAAAAGTGGCAAATGGAGTTCAATCCAGAAAGGTGCAAGGTAATTCATTTGGAGACAGCAAGCAACACAAGAACACATTCAATTAATGGTAGGATATTGAGAAGTGTAGAGGAGCAGAGACTTTAAATGCTTTGTGCTGTGTGTTCACAGATCTCTCAAAGCATCAGTGCAGTGTCAATGTACTGGCTTTGAAGTTCTATAGGATATTGTCCTTTTTGATACAGGCATATGGCATCAGAGCAGAAGATAACTTGGTCTGTTTTGCACAAAAGAGACAGGGAAGATTTAGTTGACGTGTGAATTACGAGGCGCCGTGTGAAGTTGATGGGAAGAATCTGATTCCCTTGGTGTGAGATCATTTACCAGGGGATGTAGATTTAAAGAAACTGGCAAAAGGATTAGAGAGGAGTTGAGAATTTTCTCTTTTAATCCAATATTTCATTTTTAAAGTTTACTTTCTGTACCTGATTTGACATTGATGTCACTCCTATTATTCTACTTTTTACAGCCTCTCCTTTGTTTATTTCTCAATCCATAGATCTTGGTAAAATAAATATACACTATCCTATTTGCATATCAAGGACCCAAATTTATTTGGGTCACAATGTTGTTATCAATTTATAGTTTCAGCAACTGACATAGGCAAAGAAGAGCAGCTGTAAAGTACAGGAAAACGTATAACTATCCAGAGATACCACATGATTTCCTGCTTCAGCAAGTTCCAAGCTACTACTTATTCCACCGTACGACTAGTCTCTCTTAAAAACCCTATTTGATATTTTCATGCCAAAAATCAGAGTGCAGCTTGGAGAAAAAGGAATGACTTATTAATTGGTATAAACAGGACATAGGCTAAATCAACCCAGACAACAGTCAGATTTGTAGCTACTCATTTAAGTAAAGCCCAAAAGGTTATTAATTTGTCTTTCATGACACTTGGAGAGATCACTTTGAGAATAAAATGCCCTCTATGTGTGTGATTTAAATCAGCTAGGTAATGTATGTTTTTGAAAGAGTTGATGAAGCGTAATACAGCAAAAAGCAACCAGTTCAATCTTGTGCTGTTCTAGGACATGTCAGTGTTGAAAGGTTGAATTAATAGCACAATTTTTTTTCTTTCATCCCTGAGTTAGTACAGATGTTAAGCTGCAATGATTTACTGGAAGAGAACTGTTAGTTTACACTGTAGTCATTGTAGCTAAACTGCCTGTATTAATTATTTCTTTATGGTAATATGTATGTTTTCTTAATACTTTATTGCAGTTCGAAGGCTGTAATAAAGCATTTTCTCGATTAGAAAATCTCAAAATCCACCTGCGGAGCCACACAGGGGAGAAGCCTTACCTTTGCCAACATACTGGTTGCCAGAAGGCTTTCAGCAACTCCAGCGATCGTGCCAAACACCAACGAACACACCTGGACACAGTAAGTGCTATACGGAAAATTTTGCATTACATTGTAATTGGTAGTTATTTAGTACCTTTCCTTTTCTGTTCACTGATGCAGCCAATCAACACAAAAACAAAAAGAAAATCAGTAATGTTGAAGATCTGAATAAAAAACCCACAATAAGTGCATGGACAGGGGAACTGAAGTGTAACTGATAGCAACTATAAAACAATCTGAGCCAATGCTACTGCAAATCAATTCTGAAGGGCTTGACACAAATTGCTAACAGGCCTTTCTCTTTCAGTTGCTCACTAAACAGATCTAGAATTTCACTACTTCTGAATATTTAAACCAAATTTCATGTCCAAGTCAAAGTCAAATGTTACTGTTTCTTTTCTTTGGTTCTGATTTCTTTTCTATAGTGAGGTCCATAGAACTGTATCAGTCGTAACTAGACCAATGCTCCCAGCAAGAATACTTTTAGTGGGTGAATGGTAGGAAAAAGCGATCAGAAGGGCCATAACTTATTCAGCTATTTATTTTGATGGGATGAAAGAGCAAGCCTGTGATTTCACAAAAGGCACTTTTTTGAGCACCAGCCTCATTGGAAGCAAAGAATTGACTAAATATCCAATTGTGGCCTTAGGTGAAACAGTTCAAAAATAATAGTAGCATTCTTTGTTGGCTCACTGACAACTACCTTCTCTTGTATGCTTCATGACAATGGAAGCCAGGAGATATTGAGCCCAGCCCCTAGGCTTATTGAATTGCCTTATTTTGGTGGAGTTTGACAAGTGGCAGTATGAATGTCTTTCTGCCACTGAACAGTATAATCAACAAATCTTCCTGCTATTCAGTGACTTCTGCTGGAAATAGTGTCCAAAATCTTCCAGTCTATGATTCATTGGAAATGGGTGATAAATTGGAAGATTTGCATCATTACCCCACAAGGCCCTGAAGCACAGACTTGTGTGGTAATTGCCTGGGAATGTGAAAATTTCCAATGGGCTGATTTTCACTAGGCTCTACAAAAGTCTTTGACCCTAATCTTGGGTTGAATACATGAGCCAGATGTGTGGGACTGACCTGCATAGATGCCATATAAAAGCTATACAATTTAAATGCCTGGTCTAATTCAGTAATCAGCCAACGTAACTCAACTGAACACTGTAGCGAATGCCAAGCCAATCACCCCTTCTCAACCCTAACTGGTAACATGACCATTCACCACAATGACCTGTCTACTATCTTGACCTAAAACAAACTGACCTCCTCCCACCTGACTATGTCCCTGACTGACTCATCCACGATCCACTCATTTACCTACTCGTTCACCCAAAAATCCAATGATCCACTTCACCCACAAACATGTCACCCATTCAATCGCTCATCTGTTTAACTACTCACGCATTTACAAATTCATTAGCTCATTCTCTGAAAGGCTTGGACGTTTAATGGTTCATATCAATATGGCAGCCACTACCAGGAAAAGGGTATCACTTCTTGCGTCCAGCAATCTTCTGCCACTCCACCCCTCCACCCACAGATCAACGAATACCGCTCACGCTTGGACATAGAGCAGTTTTTCCGCCGCCTCCGCCTCCACGCTTACTTCTTTAACCGTGAACCTAACCCTCCCTCTACTGACCCCTTCTCCCGCTTCCAACACACCCCCTCCTCCTGGACACCACCCCAAGGCCTCCTACCCTCCCTCGACCTCTTCATCTCCAACTGCCGTCGAGACATCAATCGCCTCAACTCTCCACCCCTCTCACCCACTCCAACCTCTCCCCCGCAGAACGTGCAGCCCTCCGCTCCCTCCGCTCCAATCCCAACCTCACCATAAAACCCGCGGACAAGGGAGGTGCAGTTGTAGTATGGCGCACTGACCTCTACATCGCCGAGGCCGGACGCCAACTC